CCAACCTCCTCCGTGCCCATCACACGAGGGCAATGGACACAGGAGAACACCACGGTGCTCCCACTCTGAAGAAAAGGCTGGAGAACTCCATGAGGTCACCACGGCAGCTCGGGGGGAAAAAAAACACATTTCCAGAGCTAGGACATCAAAAAAAGACAGAAAAAGGCAAAGATGCAGAAAGAACCATAAAGTTTTCCTTTCTGATTCCACCCCGCCTCCTCCCAAGTCACACACCACTGTTAACCTTCTGGAACAGGGCATGGCTTTTGGGGCCAAACCTCCCCAAATTTCATCCCACCTCGAAACACGGGGCTGGCTCTGGGTTTACCAGGCTTGAGCCCTGGGTCTTGGTGAAGCCGTGCCGTGGGGCGATGGACACGACACCCAACCTGCTCTGTAACTCAGCTGGAGAGGGTTAAGCTGAATCACCAGCACCCCCAGTGCCACCATCACTCGTGTCACTGGGGCCTGATGCTGTGACACCTCCTCTCCTCCCATCCCCGCAGCACCAGAACCAAAAGAAGCCCCCGAAGACCCTCAAGAAGCCCCCAGGACCAAGCTGTTGGAGGGTTGTACCTTCAGGTTCTCCCGCTCTGGCTGTATGGCAGCACCATCTGGTGGCACCAGCCCTCTCCACCACCCCCAGTTTGCTCCCAGTCAGGACCAGTGGCAGCAAGAAGAGCCTGAAAGCAGCCAACATAGGACTTCTGCATGGCCAAAGCCAGGTTGAGACCCAGCCGACAGCGATGAAACAGGGCAAAAAGATGCTCTTGAGGGAAACAGGGGGAGCCCCAGGATTGCTCTGAGGGAAAGCAGCTCCAGTTTGACACACACCAGCAGCTTCCAGACAACGCTGCTCATCTCCCCACCACTCTCCAGGGAGCTCTGCCTCCAGAAGAGGAGCGTGGCAGGAGAAATCTGGCTAAGAAAATGCCTTATGGGGGGGAGAGGGGGTTCCCCAGTGGCTCAGGAAGCCAGCGAGGGATTCACAGGCTGCAGATCAAAGGTGGCTTCAGAGTCACAGCCCCTTCTGCTGCCAGGGGGTCACTGGCTGCACCACACGAGGTCCTGCTGCTGAAAACCCCTTTGCTCTGAGGGGGGAGAGTGGCTGCTGCCATTCGAGCCCGTATGAGAACAGCAAAGGGTGCATAAAGCACAAATAGTTTATTAACTACAGACCTGGAAATGACTGAAAAGCTCCAGGGGTTCACCAGGCAACGCAGACTTTGCACGACGCGGCTCCAAACTGGAGGAAAAAGGGAAAATGAAGAAGTCTAGGGGGTGAGCTGTGATCGCCAGCTCCTCCTGTACCTCAGGAACGAATGGTGCTTCCACAAGTTTGGAAGAGTCTTCGTCGAATTGGGGCAGGACACGCTCTCCCGGCATCTCCACCGTTGAACAAATTCTGCCTGAATCTTTCAGCGCCGTTCAGAAGGGCGTCCGTGGCTCCCTGAGGCAACGTGCTCCAGGCCAGGGCTGGAAAATCGACCTCCAGGTACAAAGAAAGAACATTATAAATCAAAGAAACTCACACACGTAATAGATGACGGCGAGATGAAACTTCCAAACGCTCTTCCGAATAAAATGACTCAAACATCCAAGAGACGCAGCTGAGGTCAAAGAGAATGAGCCCGGAGAGCGCCCGTTCCCATCCCAAAAAACATCCCCGTGGGATCCACATAGTCCAGGGACTCATCTCCACCAGCCTCGGGTGCTCAGGGCACGGTCTGAACCCAACTGTGCCATTTTCCACTCAGCCTGGGATCAACACACAATTACCAGCTTAAAAAAAAAGGCATCTTTAAAAAAGAACGACTTCTTCCGACCACCAGGAGTCCGAGTTAAACTCTTTTATTTACTTTGAAACACGGGTTTAAATCTTCAGTTACAAAGTCCAGTCTAGCAATAGCAAGCTGAAAGTACGTTAACGGTCCTTTATTACACAGCCCTTTAGTGACACGCCAGATCTGTTTGGTTTTACAAGGCACTGCAAGAAACACACGGAGGAAAACAGAAGCCCCAACGGATGGAGAATCGTAGCTCCCAGAGTCCTGAAAAGCATGAGATCGGCGACACCTGAGGTACCCAGAACGGACAACTGTGTTATTTCACCACAATTAAGGAAGGGAGGGGCTGAGCGATGCTGGAACATGCGGTACCGGAGTCTCAACAGACACCTAACCTCAAAGGAGAGACAGAATGACCTTCACCCATTTGGCCAACCCAACCGAGAGGGACAACGAAGCAACAAATACTCTATTTTACCCTTTGCCGGGGCCGGGTGCGCGACAGAAAAAACCTTGAGGGCTCAACTCTATGTTTCTGAAGAGCATCCTCGGATGGAGGGGATCCCCAGCAAGGTTAGAAGTTTCTCCCAGCTCCGAAAGCCCAGTTTTTCCACCCATTTTCCGTGCAAAAGGCTCATCCCTCCCCATCCCCACCGCTCCGCTTCCCAAAGGTGAGCCCGGCACAGGACAAGGCACTCCCTGTTTAATCAACGTAAACATTTGCGATTTAAGAAGCTGGTGCAATAGAAAACCTGAAGGTGTACTGAAGTAGCACAGAGTTCTATTTTAAGGGCAGTGTATAGTTTCATTTCCTAGGTTTAATTCCTATCTACGGGGAGGCATTTTCTTCTCTACTTTGTCTTAAAACAGACCGAGCAGAAGCCGATCTCAGGTTTCGATTAACAAGACGAAGAATTAACAATATCCTCAGCTTTCTTTCTGCTTCGGAGAATGTTTGGCAGAATATCACTTCCATCACATAAGACACTAAGCAGACATGAATACGAGTTGTTTGTGGTTTTCTTTTTAAGAAAAAGTGCACTTTATACTGCAAAACATTAGGGTTTATGGTAAAAAAATAAGAAATCCATCTACGTCAGGATGTGTATTTATGGTATTAACTAGGGGGGTTTATCCAAGCCAAGAACGAAAGAAAAACTTCACAATCCTGAAATTTCTCTCATTAAAATACAATGGGATAGCACAAAGCAGGTAAAGGAGGCAACAGGAAGAAAGTTGCTTTTGTTAAAGTACGTACAAATTAATTGCCGACGATTTTATTTCTACTGCAGGATGAAATCTGGAAATTGGAATTAAAAAAAATACCCACAGGAGTATACTTTCTACCCCTAAACATACTGGTTTCCAGTCAGCTTTCAAACGCTGCCCCTTCCCTCCTGGAGCAGGCTCAGTGTGGGAGGCTCAGCTGCGCGGTGAGAGTCAGAAACACACTAAAAGATAACAAATTGAATTCCCAATTCGACTCCTTCACTCATTTCCCTTTTTTTTTCGGTTTTAAGAAGCTCCTTCCACTGCAATTCCTTTTATACCTTTCCTAAGAAAGCCCCCACGCCAGCTCAACCAATCCCAAACCACCATCAAACCAAGATTATTTCAGTATTGGAAGAAACTTCAGTGGATTAGAACTTTTTTCCGCTTTTTCGTTAACAAAAATAACAACACTGGGAGTCCACGCTGCCCGTTTGTGAGGCTTGGAAGCCCCTGGGCTTTTATTCCAGGTGTGGAATGTGACAGTGACCTGGAATAATCCCCTTTGCCAGCTGAGTGAGGCACTAAAAGGTTAAATATTGCCCGTGGACCTACAGAGCAGAGAGAAGCACTGTTTGAATGAATGCTACATCTGAGCACGACTGCCCAGGTAAGGAAACACAAATAGTACCATTTCCTACCATTTCTCTCCTCTTTGGGGTGAAAGCAGAGCAACCGGTTGGTTTTCATCAAGTCCTAAACTTTGGGACACCCTCAGTCAGGTCCCTCCTGGAAGGACTCTCGAAGCCCAGCAAGTTCTTGGCTGCAGTCTCATGTCACAACCACACTCAACACCTCTAACCATCTTCATGACCTTTTCATCCTTTCCCACCACTCCCACCTTTAGGAGGAACCCATCAGGTTGGGGAATACTCCAGATAAGCATAAACTCCTTTCTATCATCTAACAGATCCTACAGATTTTGGTAGCCTTTTCCAAAAACCACCAAAAAAAAACCCAAATAGATTCAACACCGAGTTGAAGGTGTTTACCTTGAACCAGATCACCAAATCACAGAATATCTCCAGTTGGAAGGGACCTATAAGGACCATGGAGTCCCCCATAAATCTTTAAAGTCACTTTCAAGCTCACAGCTTCTTTTTTCTGGGTTAATAAAGCAGATTCCCATTTTTTCTCTCAAAGGAAACCTCTCCCAACATCACAGTCACCAAACGGTGAAGGAGTTGACGAGCGTCTGGAGTTCCTCAAAATCCTCCGCAGCGTTTAATAACTGCCACAATTAAATTATTATCACCAAACTTCACCACCACGTCAGCCGGGTCCTACCCCCAAGCTGTCGGCAAGAAGATAAAAATGACATCAGACCCGATACAGAGGAACCTCCCTAAATTCTCTCTCTTCTCACACCAAATATTCGCAGCCCCGGTTCTCCGCGAAGCGCGTCCCCAAGAGACAATTCTAAAATTTCACCAGCAGGCACAGGAATTAACCCAAAACCTCAACTTCCTACACTCCCTCCTCAGCACAAAACGTTTTTTTTGCGGGTGGCAACGGGTCTCCCAGTCAGTGCAAATTAGCAAATTCTATTTATTGATGATCCGGAAGAGAAAGCAGATAGTAAGTGTGACACAAAAATCAGCTTTTTGAAGCTCTGCATCTGTCTGACATCATATTTCCAAAGAAAATATGCACCTACAGGAAAAGCATTCTGAATTAATGAATTTAACAAAAAAAAAAAAAAACTTTCAAAAAAACCCAAAAGTATTTAATTTAGGTCAGATTAAATAAAATTAGTTTAATGCCATTTTTTTTTTTCAAGTTTCACTATACAAAATTTCTCTACCACCAAGACACCCTTTACAAATACAATCTCTGAGGACTAATTCTCAACCCTCCCCCCTCACCCTCCCCCCCCCTTTTTTTTTTTTTTTTTTTTTTTTTTTTTTTTTTTTTTTTTTTTTAAAAAAAAAAAAAAAAAAAAAAAAATCAACCAAAAAAGAGATTAGGAGGAAACACACAGCTCGAAGTGATGCTCAAAGCAATGTATTTCCAAAAAATGAGATATTCTTTTTAACACTGACACACAGGAGGTCAACCACCGTGGTCCTGAGACACACAGAAGTGACAGGAATTGGCTCCAGATTTTCCCCTCGGAGAGCAGAGAGCACCCAAGAAGGAATATCTACAGGACATAATTCCACAGGTGGAATAAAGTGGTGTGGAAATAATTCCACAGGTGGAATAAAGTGGTGTGGAAAAGCCTTCTCCCCACCCCTGCCTGCCCTGAGGGTGAGTTTGGAGAAAACAAACCTTCCCCCAACTTGGCATCTCCAACCTTCCTACCACCATCACCTTCCATCCCACCATCAGCTTGTTTTCCCCCTGTTATCACCTCACTAAACCATGGAAATTCCACTCCCGTTTCATTCACAGCTACATTAACACGTAAATTAAATAGCATCACCCCAAATTACTTCAAAGAATCGCTGAACTTAGCAGAATACGCAAATTACTCTCCTCTTTTAAAAGTTTAGCAGCTAAGATACACTGAGGACAAAAACTTCTTACCAGATAAAGGAATCAACCTAAGATAAGTAACTTGACTATTTGCAAAAAAAAAAAAAACAAACAACAAAAAACGTGTCAAACCACGAATATTTAAACAAAATATTAAATATAATAAATTACTAATCAGAAAGTCTGCCTGCCTGCTGACAATCTGACAAGTGCTACTTTGTATTTGAATGCAAAAAAAAGAGAATATTTACTTTGAAGGCAAACTCTTTTGATCAGGAAAAGCCCGTGTAGTAAATACAGGGGTAATTTTCTCCGTAAACCAGAAGTCTATCCAAAAAATCTTCATCACACACAGGTCCCCTCAGCGAAGTTATTACAACTGCAGAAGTCTCCGTCCTCCCTCAAGGGTTACAAGGAGAAGTGATATTTCCTTTGTCTCTAGACTTCTACAGGAAAACAGCGAGTTAATGGCAGCTCTCACTGAGAGATACTATAACAGAACCATTCACCATTAGAAAAATTAAAATAATGGTATTCTAAAACCTTTCAAAATGTTGTTTTATATATATATCTCTATATTTGTCAAAGTATTAGAATCAAATCACAGACCTCTTCGTTAAAACGGCCCCTCAATGAGACCTACTGGTCACCAATCACCATCAATCACAATTTTTACCAGTTTTGGGTCTGTTCCCACCGTAACATCATCCGTCTCCACCTTTTGCTGGAGTCAATGTCCTGCTCTGAACCTGCACGTCCGCTTCCCCTAATTAATTACCGGGAAAGTTCATACAAGCAGCAGCACTTTGTACCCTCCCATTGGGAGGGGGACACTAATAAACCGCCCGGAATCCTCATTCTAAGTAAAATTCCTACTTTTCAAATAACAGCCTCTGGTTTACAGCCAGTGGGAAGAGGTTTCAGATTTTTGATTTGGCAGAACGTCTCCGAATCCGCACGCTTGCATATTTATGCCTACAATAAATCAAGGTGGCAACTCAGAATTCAAGTTAAACATTACGCGTTCTAACCTTTAACAAGAATGAAAATTTATAACTAAGGAAGTTATAAATTACTCAACCTTCGCCTTAAAAAAAAAACAAACCAGCTAGCACCAAGAGTCTAGGATCAAGATTTCCTGCGGAGAAAAGTGGCCTTTAGCAAAGCTATTTAACCGCTAATGATTTGCTTTATACACAATATGAAACAATGTGTTTTGTACAGGAGGTATATGGTTGACTTGAGTGAGGAAGGTGGCATCGAGGGAAAAAAAAAAACAAAAAAAGAGAAATATTTGGCGCAAGTTCGGCTCATACTGCGTTAAACAACAACAACAACGAGCTATCTCCTGCTCCACAACGAAAGGAACCCAAACCACCCCCCTTCTATCTGCAGCTACCAGTTAAACCAGTACATTACAGAGGACCCTAGAGATATTTGGACAATGTGGGGGGAAAAAATCAGTGCCTCAAATGTTTTTCCCTTTCAGCGAAGCAATTTTGAAGACTCCTCGTCCCCAAGTGCTGTTTTACAACAGACAAACCCACGCCTTTCCAACTCTTTCCAGGTGTGCTTTTTTACATCACCACCTCTAATTTGGGCCAGAGAGGATAAAAAGCCAACCCAAACCAAAAGCAAACCTTCCAACTTAAGAACTAGTCATGAGAAGACCGGGTTATCAATTCCCCACGCCAAGTCCAGTAGAGAAACTTTCCGTCTGCGCTGTATTTTTGTGGTCAGGAGCTGTCACTTGGCTGACAGATAAGCTCAGGATAAAGCACAGCACACACACACACACTCCAGTCACTTCAGAAATGAGTAGTTGCAGGTGTTTTAAAGAAGAGATTTTTGACTCCTTTGTTGCCTAGGCTGAAATGCACACACTTGACCAAAACCGTCAATTTCTAGAAGTGGGATTATTATTATTCTTATTATTTTTTCCTTTTCTTTTTGAAGTCTCCAATTCTGGGCCCGTAGGTTTCAGGCCGTTTTTCCCCAGTTACTTCAGGAGCAAGGGAAAATTTGGGAAGTGCAATACTAGGATAGCTTCTGCTCGCTTTCAGTGTTCATGCTGACAGTTGATTTTGTCTTCGGAATGCTCCAAAACATCCAGCATTTCTTCTATGATGGCCTGTAGCGCCCGACCCAGCTGTTCTGCCGTGTAGGGTTTTCCCAACGGAGGCACGTGGACAAAAGCCGACCTCCCGCGGCTCTGGTATAAGGAAGTGTAGTAGGTGAAGTCACAGAGGTATCTGAAAATACAAGGATAAAGCTTATTTAGCAAAAAAGTGACAAATACAGGGTGCAAACGGCGGGATAGGATGGGTTGGATGCTCCTCAGTTCAGCATCGCGGCAATATCCGGGAATAATTAGTGGAAATCAAGCTGGGTGTTGTGAGTCTGGGGGATTTAATCAAATCTAGACAAAGAAAGGTAAAATGCTTCTAAGTATCTTACAAATACAGGGTGCAAACGGTGAGATAGGATGGGTTGGATGCTCCTCAGTTCAGCATTGTGGCAATATCTGGGACTAATTAGTGGAAATCAAGCTGGGTGTTGTGAGTCTGGGGGATTTAATCAAATCTAGACAAAGAAAGGTAAAATGCTTCTAAGTATCTCAAGGTGGGTTGAAGGAGGAGGGAGCCAGACTGATTGTTTTAATCAAATCTAGACAAAGAAAGGTGAAATGCTTCTAAGTATCTAAAGGGTGGGTTGAAGGAGGAGGGAGCCAGACTCTTTTCAGTGGTTGCCAGTGAGAGGATGAGGGGCAACGGGCACAAGTTGGAACGTAAGAGAATATGAGAAAAAACTTCTTCATGGAGCCCTGGAAGAGGCTGCCCAGGGAGGTCGTGGAGTCCCCTTCTTTGGAGATGTTCAAGACTCATCTGGATGCAGTCCTGAGTAACACACTCTAGGCAATCCTGCTTCAGCAGGGGAGTTGGACTAGATGATCTCTGTGGTCCCTTCCAACTCTAAAAATTCAGTGAAAATATCATAGAATCATAGAATCATCTAGGTTGGAAGGGATCTTCAAGATCATCTAGTCCAACCATCAACCTGACAAAAAAATAAATAAGAAATAAAATAACAAACAAACAAACAAAACCACTAAACCACATTCTTGAGGACCACGTTGACCCGCCCAATCTCTCTTTTTCCCCCGAAGATTGGGTGACCGCTGAAAAACAGACGGTATCGCCAACCCCATGAGAGGTGAAAAGAATTATGAATTGTACAGGACTCGTGAGTTGAGGATGAAAGGACCCCGTGTTGCAGCATGAGGCTGGTTTTGCCCCAGAGCTCGCCGACACCCTGTACCTCTGCTGAGCACCTCTGCTCCGAGGACAGGCTGAGGGAGCTGGGGTTGTTCAGCCTGAAGAAGAGGAGGCTCCGGGGAGACCTACTAGCAGCCTTTCAGTACCTGAAGGGAGCTACAGGAAGGCTGGGGAGAGCCTGTTTAGAAAGGCCTGCAGTGACAGGATGAGGGGCAATGGCTTCAAGCTGGAGGGGAACAGATTTAGACTGGAGATGAGGAGAGGGTTCTTCACTGTGAGGGTGGTGGAGCACTGGAACAGGTTGCCCAGGGAGGTGGTTGAGGCCCCATCCCTGGAGATATTCAAGGAGAGGCTCGACGAGGCCCTGGGCAACCTGGTCTAGTTGGGGGTGTCCCTGCTGACTGCGGGGAGTGGGACTAGATGGCCTTTGGAGGTCCCTTCTGGCCTGGGCAATTCTATGATTCTATGTACCTGCCGGCGTCCTTGGAGATAGTGACCGTGACGTCCAGCCCCAGCGCCGAGACCCTCTTGCAAACCGTGTCCATGTCGATGATGGAGTCGATACACTCTGGGCCACCTTCTACACAACACTGGGAGCCCGGGCAGAAACGGCAGTTGTCTAAGCCTTTATAACCTACATTATGGCCACACTTCTCCAGAGTCACAGTCGTAGCCATACCCGAAACGCCCACGTGAACCACCAACTACAAGAGAAAAAAAGAAAACAACCAAAACCCAACGAGTTAAATCAACCAAAATACAAACGGTGGAGAGGCAACAGCCCACTGCTCCCAGTTAGAGAGTGATGGGGTTGTTACAGGAGTTCTTGTGTGAGTATCATGGTAATGAGTCATTTTATCAATGAACTTGTGGGTCTAGTAGGGAGCAGTTCTTCTTGTTTCACCCCCTCCCGGCCTAAATTGTAATTTACTTGGGGTAAAAATGAGCCTTGGCATGTTCACAGCCTGGAAGAGCCCAGGTGGCACAGACTAACTGTGAGCTGTCTAGACAGCCCTCTGCTGTGGCCTCTTCACACCCACTGCTCCCATTAATTGGGGAGCTCTATTCCGAGCTATAAACTTCCACAAATTCACAGGTTCTCATGACTAAATAGAAGAAGAGCTTTCAAGGGACTACCTGTCTGAATATACATTAAAAATGGGACTTCACGTGATGCTCGTTGCTGTAAAGATGCCAGATTTCAGCCTTTTGCCCTCTCTTTTCTCCTCCTCCTCCTCCCTTTACTCACTCACTTGGGGACTGTGCTTTTTCCATAAGGCAGGAATGAGTCTTTGCACCGTCTGGTATTCAACGGGCACCTCATAGACATGCAGATCCACATCATCTCGCAGCCCGAGCTTCTCCAACTCCTAAGAATGTAAGAAAATAGATAAAAGCAGGACGGTCAGACACAAGCTCAGCAGAGGAGATACTTTATTTAAGTTTATGAGCAGAGTGAGTCTGCTGTGAGGGACGGACCTCAGCTCGGCATTCCGGCTGTATAACCTTCTAAACAGCACTGTAAAACAAAAAAAAAAACCCAACAGAAAGGGGAACAACAGGGGCATCTCCCCACCTGTGTTAACAGTCGTCACCCACAGGACCGTTTGTTCTGCTCTGCTGTGTGTACCACAAAGAAATCAACATTTAACTGACAACAGTTATCAGCAACACCCACGCTCAAAAGACAGGTTGGCGACATTATTTATAGAAGGATAGAGTCATACTCATTTCTTGACAGAACTACATATTGTGTAGAGAAAGCAGAACTGAGAGGGTTATACTCATGGTCTGATTTGTTGTGTCTCAGGACTGGAGAGCAAATTCCCATTTGTTTTCGGGTCCAGAGCTCTGAGGGTGAGATTCTGTGTCTGTGAGTCCCCACAAATATTAGCAAACACTCCTCATGTGAGAAAAGGGAGCACCGTTGGCACCTCCTCCTCAGCATATTTGTTTTACTGTAATTTTGGCAGAATCCAGAATACAATACAGCCTGTTTCCAAACTGTAGAACGGGTTTCCATCACTAGCTTTACCTACACCTAATATATTGTACTTAATTTTGCAACCTGACCCATTGCCATTGACGTGATTCAACTAATGCAGTAAATTATTTCTCCCTCTATGATGTTAACTAAAGCCATGCCTTGAAAACATCCCAAATATCCAGGCAATAAACTTAACCAATTTCCTTTCAACCCTTTAAAATAAGTGTCAGTTAAATACCTTGCAAAGACTTGTTTAAAACCAGGGGGAAGAGGCCAGATCTCTTTTTTCTCCCCAGTGCACCTGACTGGTGAGCACACTGTTTCATCCCAACGCTGTGACTTCCTTCTACACACAGCCCGTGGTCCTGGACACTTCTCCCTTGCTCCTTTGGTCTCCATTTCAACACCAGTTTCACCAGTAAAGCTTCCATTTGAGGCTGATTTGGTACCTCAGACTTTACCAGTCTAGCCCAGAACAGGACTCCATCAGAAGTGAAACCTTCCAGAGCCATCAAACCCAAACTTTCAAGAACTCAAGGAAAAGAAACACCCATATGGGCTGAACCCTCTGTAAAAAAAAAACATGTTCTTATGCAAAATCATGAGCTGAGCTCAAACCCAGGGGCCTTATTCAAGTCTACACCAGGAGGCACATTTCCAGCAGCTGAAACCACTTCAGTTATCGTGTTTAATGGGTTCCAACAGCATCCATCTTGGATCACGTTTCCCTCTGATGAAGATAACGTTTTTTGACACTCTAAAAAACTTTACAGCTGCTTTTCAAGAGTGATAAGTGACTGTACATGACACTGACAGCCTTAGTCAGAGTCCTCCCATAGCTCTGTCTTCTCTGGAAGTGCATCCTCCTTTCCAAAGACAGAAGGACTCATGAGCTCCTGCATCTCCGTCACCAGGCCCGTGTTTCAGGTAGAAGAACCAACTCCAGCTTTTCACCAGTTAATACACAGCAGCAGCTTGTTGTCTGGGGCTGCTCCTCTCCTCCGAGATACATGTTGGTTGAAAAAACCCAATCTTACTCATGCCAAAAGCTGGAAATGATTACTTGTGCTAACATCAAAGGGGCTGCCTGCGCAGCAACAAAATAACCTGCAACTCTCACATCCACAAACCGCTGTAGTCGTTCCCGGGGATCTGAGGTAGAAACAGCCACGTAAGGAGCCATCAAACTATCAAAGGAGATCTTAAAATATTGTTGAATTATTAAATTATCTCCATTTCAGGTTCAAGACTCGGTGATCAGAGCCAAGAGCTGCGCTTTCAGGTGATTCTTAGGCTTTATTTTCCTGCGCATAGAGATTATACTCACAGACTTCAGGCTGAGGAGTGCAGATTTAGCTATTTTCACCAAAGCTTACTCAATTTCAAACCCTGTATTTCCCCAGGTTTGAATTTCTTTCAAATTAAAGGCAGCTGAAAGGAGAGAACAAGCTGAGGTTCTTGGGCTCCCCCATTACAATCCGACCTCCTCTACATAAACGTGAGCAGTATTTTAGTACCTTTTTTTCCCCCCCTGTAGTTATCAGCACGAGTCGTTTCTTTCCTGAGGAAAAAAAACCAAAACACCCAAACCCTTTCACACTTGTACAGACAGACCACAGAGAGTGTAACAAGATTTAAGACAACTAAAAGACTGGGGAAAGGCAAGAGTAAGACTTTCACGGACCAGCAGATATGAGCAACAACAATGATAAATCACTTGCTCTGGCTCTGAGGGCAAGGCTGATATTAAAGGCTTGCTGTATTGATTAGTGTCTGGCACACACAGACATTCATTACCAGAGATGGATGCTAAGTGATGTTTCATCACATCTTCTTTACACAAATCTGCCTTCAAAACCCGAGCTGGTTTATGTGGTGCCTTAATAAAGCAAGTAGTTTACAAATGAGAGTATTCAAATACGAGGCAGTCTCTTTAGGAAGATCTCCAGAGCGTTAATTGGGAGGGATTCATCATCACCACTTCTCTAAAGAGCGTGAAACAGCTCCTAAGGCTGAATTTGATGGTGGAAAGTTTTACCGGCTGCGCAGAACGAGCATCTACAGGGAGCAAGAAACCTCGGGCCATAGGAGCTGCCCCATCACAATGACAGCCACCTTCTCCAAATGCAGAAACGTGTTAAACCTTCTAGCTTTACCAATTCCCAACTTTCTTTTAACCAAACACGGCGTCCATTCAATAATAAAGATGTCCGCTGGCCCCCAGACAACTTATTACCCCCAGCCTTGTATACCTGACAAATATAGAAAAACGAACATGTTTGACCGATTCCCTGACCCCTCAACAATGGTCCTCTTTGTGAGCCTTTAATATCCTTATCAGGTCTGTCTAGACACCCTGACAGCAATTGTCCTTAGTAATGTCAAAACGCACTCTGACCTCTCTCCTCCTCCTCCTCCGGGCTCAGCCAGAAGCTCTTCGGGGAGGGGGGATGAAGGCAGGAGCCCATCAGCTTCACAGTCCACAGGGCACACCTGTGTCTACACCTAAGTCACACCAGGGAGGGCAGAAAAATGTACCAAACAGAAAAGCCCATTTTGGTAACTTCTTCTTGAAAGGAAGGTCCCTCCCAAGCAAAAACTGCAGCTGAAAAAAAAATTCCTCAAATGGAATTTAAAAAAAATGAAAAGAGGGAAGAGCAAATCTACGTTAACACAGACTATTTTCACTCTAAGCCTCGGAAAAGAAAGCAGAAAGAAGTTATTCTTCCTTCTGAATTGATAGGAAATTTCTACCCCACGTGTAAAAGTCTCCAAACGTTTCATCTTCACATTATATTAGATTGCTGCTGCCACTATTGAAGGTACTCGTTATGTTAACTACGTGTAAAAGTCATTTCGCTTTCAAAACCACACAGCTATACTAGAAATTCACTGCATTCAGAGGGGAAAAGACACCCCATATCCGTGTTCTACATAAACAGCCAAATAAAACCAAAAAAAAGAGCACTGGAAAGAAAAGCAGAGAATTTTATCCTGGGGATGCAGGCTAATAAAAGATGTAATAAACCAGAACTAGCTTAGCCCTAAAGCTAGGAAGGATTTACAAAGATTGTTTAATTGATTTTTCTGCTATTAAAATGCAGATCACACCGTCTGGGATTCAGAAACTCAGACACGCCTTTGTGTCCACTCAGCTCCATGAAGTCCCCTGTCTGAAACTTGCACAATGCCCAACTCGCATGTGCTCAAAGACATGCTGTTCCTTTTTTTGTCTGGGCCTCTCGGGGCTGAGACGGGGCAAGGAAAGGCAAATCCTCCCCGCTGCCCCAAAGTTGGGATGTTTTGAGTCAGAAACCGGCTATTAAACGGGACTGGGAGGGAGATGGGCTCCCGAGGCAGCAGGTCTCACACCACCAACTCGAGTTTGATACCCTCCAAACATCCTACAAACCCATCAAATTAATTTAAAATACAGGTGATTATTTCATCTATCGGCCCCGCAGCTGCCGGGCTGAAGGAACGACACGCCGTTTCTCTTGATAGAAATAGGAATTATCCATGAGGTTTGGGTTTTGTGAGCAACACCAGAACACCCACCGCTCTTCCTGTCCCACAATACCCTTTTGTCTGTCTCCTCTAGAATCAGCTTGTTTACAATAACTGACACCACACGAGGAAGAACAAACCAAATCAATCAGCTCCGCTACTAAATTTCAGGAACGTGCAATTTTGGTTTTCCACAGCTTGCTTTTTTCCCCCTAACTAAAACCCTAACCCTAACTCAAATATATTCATTTCCAAAAGGGTCTTGGAGGCAAAGGTTTCGCCTTCTCACACCAGCCAACACATTAGACATCTGGACATTAGTAGACTGTAATTGATTAGAGTTTGTGATTTAATTTAAAAGCATTCTAAAGAAGATATTAATCTCCGAGCTCTGAAGGGAAGAGAG